GGTCGGGCTGCGGAGAAAGTGTTACGGGTGAGGTGTTGAATGTCAAGCTGAGACAAGTTCGCCTCCTGAATAGAACCGAAGCGTTGGGCGCCCCGAGAGTTGCGAGCGGAAATCCCTAGTATTATAGGACCGGCGAAACTATACTGGACTTTTTCTGCTGTTGCTAATATTGATTTACTATGTCATTTATTTATTTTTATATACTTTTTTTATTATTATTATTATTATTATTTTTTTTTTTCTTTTTGTAATCACAATCTGATCCACGATTCTATATCCCGTCAGCGTGGATTGTCAGAAAGAAGAAAGGACGGTTGAACTGAGCTGGTCACGTGACATCTTGGGCAGCTGGTTCGTCATAATGCAGACGCCACCCTTCGCTCAGCCGATCACAGTAACCACCTGCAGGTAGCTCCTAGAGATTATCGTGTTTGCTATTTACTGTCTAGAAAATCAGTAACTAATATCCTGTCTTTACTTTATGATCTGATTAGTAATGCTGATCCCTTATTTATCAATCTCTTCGCATTTTTGTCTGTTATATAGTCCTTACCTTGTCATTCTCTGACACCCTGTCATTGAAAAAAAACTAGCACTAGGTAGCGGTGACCCAATGAGAGAGGAATACAGCTGTGTGCTATTTCAGTTTCCTAATAGTCCAAAAATATTTGCATTGCTATCAAAATTACAAAGAATTTACATGTCTCCTCATAATTGGCAAGGGGCCATTGATGTGCCATTTCATTCATTGCATTTCGAAGGAGTGACGCTCTCTCCACTTCCTTTTCGACAGCGCCGCCGCCAGATTGCAGGGCTGTCGGCCGCTGCTGCAGCCGCGGCCTCTGATCGCCTTCCAGCCCCGTGACCCCGAGCCGCGCCCCTTCGTGTTCGACTTCCCCTTGCCTGTGGCGTGCGTCTTCGCCGGGGTTGACCCTCTGCAGCGTGTAAGCGTCGCAGGATAATAGGTCTTGTTCGGCCCGCCAGAACTGGGGCCCTCGGTAGCTTCGGCTTTGCATTTTGATGTTTGTTAGTTTGTCACCTGGGTGGTTTGTAGAGCAGGCCATTGTAATTTCACGTAATTTGGTATGTATTCATGAACTGTAAATCCTACATTTGGAATTTTAAAATTGTGCATATGTAATAGAACTGTTTTAAAAGTTTACAATCCTATTATCTAGGCTTCGGCTGTGACTATAGTCGTGACACCTGATGACCAGCCTGTGACATCATCGCCCTTTGACTCTGACTTGGATGACGAACGTTCCGTGACGTCACGTTCAGGCGCCCATGGGACGGACATATTCGTGACGTCACTGGCGAACAGACCAATCCCACATCCTCAGGTGACGTCACGGTCTTTCCCACGCGTCCCGCTTCCACGGCGTCCGGATACGCTGCCGGGAGTGCCCTTCGACAATGTCAAGACACTCACAGAAATAGTGCAAAACGAAGCTGAAGTTAAAGTCAGCCGGCAGTCGGGAGGCTCTCGCGCTCATCCAGCTCACGTTTTCTTGACATTATGTCTATCGCTTGCTTTGCTTATTCAAAGATGATTTTGTAGACCCCATCGGTAGAATTTATACATACTATGCATATGTAAGTTATTTTAATTGTTAAATACTACCATTAATGCTTTATATATACTCAGCTTTTCCTAAAAGGTTGTACACATAGAATATATCTGCAACGAGACATGAATCAACGCCAAGAAATTTTGGACTACTTACGTGAACAGCAAAGAACACCACACCTTCACACACTTACACCATGCACTTACCCTTCCCTGAAATACGGACAAAGAAAAAAAAACATGGACTCGTATCGACACTACCACACTGCTAAACGCCGTATGGTAAAAATACTCACCATATAATTGTATGTTATACTATTTCAGGAGAAAAAACGTTACATACAGTATATCAAAAGATCGAGCAGGATGTGGTGGCATCCTTATAGATAGGAGACACGGGAAGTGTCTTAAGACGAAAGAGGACTACAGTATTGGTTTTACTTGATTTATAACTGCAGCCAAGCAAAGTGATTTTGTAAGTTACACCGATGACAAAGAAATGTTTTATTTGCACTTTATATATATATACAAAATAGATGTACGTAAAACTGTGTACAATAAAGAATAATTTTTACTTGTATTTTTATTTAAAGAAAGAAAGATGGAATTAGAAATACAATGAGCAACCTTCAGAGAAGCGGTAAAATAAACCAACAGACAAAAATCCGCCAGGATGAAAGAGTACAGGTTCCCCCGAGAGCCGCATCCGCACTGAGGGACGGCCTGCCAGAGATTCCATGTTTATGATATTTTAGTTCAGGTTAAGAAGTTCCTCGAAAGAAACAAGGAAACATATTCTTCTCAACAGACTCTATTGCGTGTACAGTGCTATCTTGTTACGAAGGCATTTTACGGAACAGAGCTTCAATTCACACTTACTTACATGTCCATCATCAGACACTCGTATGTATAAATACGTATGTAAATATC